AACAAGCAAACTGCCCTTGGTTGCCTTTTGTTTTGTTCTGAGTATCTTGCAATGCTTTTTCAATTAGTTAAACTTTTTATTTTGAGATAATTATAAATTTTCATACGGTTGTAACAAATAATGTGGAACGATCCCATGCAAACTTTACCTAGTTTATCCCAAAGGTAACATCTTGCAAAACTACAGTACAGTGTCGAAACCAAGAACCTGACATTGATACAACCTATCAATCTATTCAGATGTCCCCAGTTTTATATGTACTCATTTGTATGTATGTGTGTTTAGTTTTAAGCAATTTTGTCACAAGTGTAGGTTTGTGTATCCACCACCACAGTCAAGATACAAACAGTTCCATCACACAAGGATCCCTCATCCCCCCCTCCCAATGCACTCCTGTCCTTGCCCTTGTCAATCACTAATCTATTCTCCATCTCTTGAATTTTGTCACTTCAAAAATGTTATATAAAAGAATCAGACAGTGGGTAACCTTTTGGGATTGACTTTTTTCACTCAACATCCCTTGAGATTCATCCAAGTTGTTTTGCATAACAGTAGTTCATTCCTCTTTGGTTGCTGAGTGGTACCCCCACTTTATGGATGTGCCCCAGTTTGTTTATCCATTCACTCATTGAAGAGCATAAGGGTTGCTTCTAGTTTGGAACTAATACATTCATGTACAGGTTTTTGTGTGAACATAAGTTTTCAATTCTCTGGAGTAAATACCCAAGAGTACAAGTTTCATAAGAAATTGTCAAACTGTTTTCCAAAGTGGCTGTACCATTTTTTCATTCCCACCAGCCATGTGTGAGTGATCCAGTTTCTCTGCCAGAATTTGGCGTACTCACTGTTTTTTAGTCATTTAGATAGATATTCCTTTTTAAAAGTAAGGAGCTCAGAAGAGTTGAATTCACAACCATGCTGTATCATCATGATGGTCAGAACTCACTGGGAGCTAGTGGACCACATATTTACTTTCCCCCACTTCTTCAAGGAATCAAACAGTGAAACCTGCCCTGTGATGAGTCCTGGTTCAGAGATGGATTGAGGATCAGCTCTGCCTTCTAGGAAACCCAAGTCTGCCTGTCTGTCATCTATCTGTAAACTAATCTAATCCTTCTGATGACCTAATGAGATAGGTACTATTATCATCCCCATTTCACAGATAAGAAAACTGAGGCACAGAGAGATTAAGTAAACTACCCTACATCACACAGCTAGAAAATGGAAGACCTTTTCTGCCTAAGGTTATCAGAAAAGGCTCTCCAGAGTAGAAGGCAACTGAGTTGAATCTCCAAGGATGAGTAGTCCACCAGGTGAAGAGGGAAGACATGGGAGCTTGGCAACGTACAAAGGCATGGAGAGGTGCTGGACACCATGGAGGAAATTCTGGGAACCAACACGCACAAACATGGCTGGAAGTGGATGGGACTGCCCAGCCCAATGGGAACAGAAGTCTTGTGGGAAGCAGTGAGCAACCTGTGGTACAAGGCCAGACAACCAGAAAGTCCCCTGTGGTCCACATCATGTTTGTGTGTTTGCTTGGTTGGTTTTTGGCCCACACCATGATTTACAGTATTGTCATTCATTGCTAACTTTTAAAACTTGAAGATTTTATATCCAAAATCAGATTTTCAGCTTTTCTTAGAACATCTCAGTACCTGGCCACACTGGGCTCATGTGGCAATTATCAGCAGGTCTGGAGTAGGACTCTCCCCTTTAGATGGGGCCCATCTAATTTCCCATAGTCCCCACTACCCCCCCATTACTCCCACCTGACCTCCTTCACTAATTGGCATCACTTGCTAGCTCCTATGGTCATTTCAGTTTGCAAGCCCTGCCTTAGGCAGAATGAGATAGCAGTCTCCAAATATCCACAAGTCCAATCTGCACAAGAAAGAGAAGATAGTCTGTGAGTCTCCCCGATGCAGAACAGGACCAAGGCATGGAGGAACAGTGGTGTGCACCAAAAACAAAACAGGCACCTGGCCTCCAGAGCTGTCCAACAAGCAATTGAACAAGGGCTTGTGGTCCAGTGGCTGTCTCTGGAGGTGGCAAATTCTCCGTCACTCACCGGAGAATACAATTTCTACTGATGACAGATCAGCCTAAGTGTTCTGTACAATTTCTTTCAGGCCTAAGATTCTGTACACAGATGGTTACTCATTTCTTCATTATTAAGTATTCACTGATCACCTACTAAGTGGTAGGTACCAAAAACATGCTAAGACTGAAGATAAGAATAATCATATCAATCACCCTGTTAAAGCCCTTAATCCTTTTCCAAGAACTTCCTCAGCCATCATCCCAGCCAGGTGTTTCCCTAAGTGTAGAAAGAGAACCCATACCGAGGGAATTTTCAAAAGTTCAGGACAAGACAATATAACATGGAATCAGAGACACCAAGTTACCTCCTTTTCATTTCTTTTTCAGTCTATCAGATTGTCTCCAGAAGAAAGTGCTAATAGTCCAGTGGCTAATAGACATCTTTATAGCCATGTTTATAATCATGTCAATTTCCCTCATAAACAAAGAGAAAGCAGGTCTCAGGCTAATAGCCTTCGGCAAGAAATCGTATCTGAGACAGAATGTAATAACAATGATTTTTTTTTCCCTGTGGATTTGGTTTCACAGTTAGTGTTTATTTATGGTAGTGAAATAAAATTTCCTTTTTAAATAAATCTACTTCAGTGGAAATCTTACAAGGTGGTAGCAAAGAAAAATTAAATATTGATAGTATTTCGGGCTGGCAAAAATTGTGATTGACATTTGGGAAACCATCCTGGTCACTGATCCTCAGTGACAACAATCTTATAAAAGAAGCACTCATAGGAGCTCATTACTTCATCTGTAAAATATTTATTGGGCGTCTATCACATGGCCAGGACTGCACTGAGAGCTAGGTATACAGCAGGGTAAAGACAGGTACAGTCCCTACCCATTGGATGGATGACAAAACAGAGGCACAAGGGAGTGGAGGACATACTCACGGGATACAGAGACTGAGCAGTAACTTGAACCCTGGGCCTGACTCCCAGTATAGTGCTCCCTCCTTCGGCCTCAGGGTGGTGGGCCCCATGCAGACAGAAGGCACTCACTGCTGTGCCTTCCCTGGCTTGGACA